TATAATTAAGATGCTAAGTTATAATTAAGATGCTAAGCTATAATTAATATGCTAAGTTATAATTTTAAGATACTAAGCTTTAATTATAAGATACTAAGCTATAATTAAAAGATGGTAAGTTATAATTAAGATGCTAAGCTATAATTAAGACACTAAGCTATAATTAAGATGCTAAGTTATAATTTCAAGATGCTAAGCTTTAATTATAAGATACTAAGCTATAATTATGAAACTAGGCTATAATTATGATACTAAGCTATAATTATAATATGCTAAGCTTTAATTATAAGATGCTATGCTAAAATTATATGATGCTAAGCTGTAATTAAGATGCTAAGCTATAGTTTTAAGATTTTGAGCTATAATTATAAGATGCTAAGCTATAATTATAAGATGCTATGTCATTATAAAAAGATAAACCTTAAGATTATAAGACATCATTTTGAGATTCTAAATGATAATTTAAAGATTTTAAGTCCTAAATAAAAATGTAAGTTTTATGCAGGAGAATCATTTTTATGCCAGAGCTTCATTGAAACCACTACAGCTAGCTGCAGCTGCCACTTGTGTAAATGTAAATAGAGTGTAACATATAAATGATGGCAGTATAAACTTTTTTTTTAATAATTTGAATGAACCACTTTGGCATTTTTGGGATGTAAGTTCTTCTGAGTCCTTATTCCAACTTAAACTAGTCCTGAAATTAGAAATCAACTTTTTAAAAACTGTATTTTTTTTAAGGAGCTAGCTTCACAGCAGGTAGATTATTTATCATTCACAACAGAACCACACTTCAACAAAGATCTACCACTAGTTTTAAAATGTGCAGATTTTTCTATCAGCACAACAAATTACACTGAAACACCACACTTTTACTTCTCTTTATTTTTTGCACTCTTTTCCCTGCTTTGGGATTCTTGATACATTTTGTGGTTCGAGATTCGAATTTAAACAGAATAAATCTTCACAGAATGGTCACCACCATCCAGGATGATGAACACGTTGTTCAGTGCCACCAACCCAACCGGTCGGACAAGATGGCTCCCCACCAGAGGAGCTAGCACCGCGTCATTTTGAAGCTTTCCTAACCGACAAACCAATCCCTGATCAGAGTCAGTCAGTAACACATCTTCTCCGTCTCTGTCAAACGCCAATCCTGACATGTTCAGCCTCAAACCAAACTGCAGGTTCAGGCTGAAGCTGTCCATCTGGTACAGAAGGTGGAAGTCTTTGGTAAAGACTTTTAGCTTTCTGTGCTGGTGCCTCTCCGTTGGATGCTCCATCACTGCAGTGTTCCCAGCCACTCGACAACAGGCCACTGCTTTGGGACGCTGAAGGTTGGAAATCACTGTACGGCACTCCAGAATGACACCGTGACCGTAGTCCACTTTCACCAGGGACAGCGTGCCTGCCTGGACATCTGAAACCAGGATGTGACCATCACCGTTTGTGTCCACCCCCCAGGGCATCTGGAATGAACCCTTGACCGTGACCACGTGATTCCCCCTGGAGGTGAAAACCTTCACAGCTTTAGCCCCTGCATCTGTCACCACAACGCAACCAGTTGGAGTCACCGCAACATCCACTGGGTAACAGATGTCCCCAGTGGCTTCTCCTCTTCGCCCAAAACTGTTCAGCTTCCTTCCCTGTTGGTTGAACACCACAACCCTCTTGGCTCCATCGTGCACCACAGCTAATGCACCAGAAGACCCCAAAGCAGCTATTCCAGTGGGGTTGACAAGAGTCCCCCAACCTCCGAACACAGTGCGAAGGTGCAGACCTGTGGCTGAGAGAGATCCTTCTTTAGTTCTGCACAGAGGAGGAGCAGCAGCAGAGGATGAGGGCCTCTGGGACAACAGAAGCTCCTGCAGGTCACTGAGAACCCGGCAGTGGGAGGTGCTGTCAGCGCTGCACAGCTGTCGACAGAACGGGCACTCCAGCTTCCTCAGCAGAGGGTGGGACAAAGCAGTGACACATTCCAGGCAGAGTACATGACCGCAGGAGAGGTTCTGAGGCCTGCGCTCCCTCTGCTGAGAACTGAACGTCTCGAAGCAGACTTTACACTCCAGCAAGTTGATCTGGATCTCTCTCAGGGTCCCCTCTGGATTCAAAGAGCCACGACGCAAGAGACCGGGACTCTTGTCCATGACGACTGAAATGTCCTGAAGCAGGCTTCATGAAATCCAAAAGGCTTCAAATCTGAATCGTTTAGGTGATAAGGATGAGAAAGATGAGCTGAGCTGCAGCTCTGCTCACATGTCCAGGGCTGTGAGGCCTCCATCATCACGTGATGTTTTGACTCCAGCTCAAGGCTCTCTGCTGCCCTCCTTTGGAACAACGAACAGGACTCAGAAGTATCTCAAAACAATCAGAAAAAGCACAATATATATATATATATATATATATATATATACACACACACACAAGCATACATTTATCTTGCTTTGAAACCAGGATGCTCACACTTGATTTTACTGATGAAATTAGGCTTTTACTTTAATCAGGCCCAAGATTTCCATCCACACCTGGCTTTATTGTCCGTTTCAATTTTATCTCCACCCTTTCCCCCCGAAAAGAGCAACTCTGCTTTCAGATACATCCTGTTACAGATCAGCGTTACGCAGCTATTTCAGTCTGACTTTCATGCTGTGCAGACGGAGTGAAATCTGACCCGAAAGGGGAAGAGACTGAGTCAGCCAATCCAACAATCCTGTCCTCCAACAGGACGCCCTTCAGGGCTCGAGCAAGATCACAAAAAATCTTACAAACAGCACACTGTATTAAAACAAAACAAATAAATACAAAAAGCTGCCCATTTCAATGCAGAAACTACTCACAAATCAAGAGGGAATGTAAAAGTTTTTTTTAATACGTTGCCATTTTTTCCACAGTGGAAAAAGAAAAAAGAACAACACATTTTCAGAAGAAAGAGTTTTGGCAAATGACATCTAAATCCAGAGGCAGTGTACCTTTTTATAACGTCTAATCCAGATTTTAGAGTTCTGCGTTTGGATTGTCGAGGATTACGTAGGAGATAGCTAAAAGTCGGTACGATAAACCCGCAGTAAAGCACTCGAGGTGAGACCTAGTTTAGCCGTAATACAGACAGAGAAATGTTCCATGCAAACAGGCACAAGGCGTGAATTGAAATATTACAACGAACAGAAACACTTGTGTTCACGTCTGAGGTGCAGGTTAAATAACGGTGCCGCAACACGTTCCTTCATCCAAACTGTTGACTGGGCAGCCGTGCAGAAGCAAGAAACGCAACAAGAACGTGCAGAAATTTTGGATAATGCCCCCGTCTTGTCAGCACATTCAAATAAAAAATATTTAAAAAAAAACAATATTTGCCACAGATGGACAGGAAGTAAAGTCACAATGATTCACATTAATACTTGAACATCACAAAAATGCACAGTATTCCTCGAGGAAAACGTCCTGCAAAGTGCTTTCACCGTGTGCTTCGTGACAAATCGGACTTCCGCCGAAGATCCCGGTAAAGTAAAGCCGTCTTGCATTGAAATTCTGCCAACATTCAAGTTTTAAAAACAGGACATAAAACATTTGTGATGCACAAAGATCACCAAGTGATGTTTGTATCAAAAGATTTAACCGTTCTACAGCGATACAAGTTTTGATAAAAGTGATCAACACAACGGCTTTTTGACGGTACAACGTGTCTCCTCGTGCTGTACAGGAGTTCGGGCAGTTCAGTCATAAATGATACTGTTCATTAGAAACGATTATGAGCATGCAGTCACATTTAAAATCAGCCTTTAATCTCGCGCACTCACACGACCTTTCACTCTCAGACAAACCTGTGATTAGTGGCTTTAGGAGCTTTTTAACACTTCAGCGAGCACCTTCTGCAGTTTGAGCTTCACTAACAACACCTCATGGACCCGTTCATCCACCCTGTTGGCTTCTGTGGCTCTTAATTACAAACATGAAGCGTTTGCAGTTCTAACCACTCCCCACAACACTTTTAGAGCGAGTCCAGAAGTCGCCGGCGGCCTCCTCTGGATGCCGTTCCTACTGGCCGTCACGACCGTTGATGGAACTGTTCGTCCCCGAGACTTTCACTCTCTGTCTGGTTGTGGGACTGTCGCCGTTTACGTCCGTGTCGTCTGAAACATTGAACATTTGAAAGATAAGTTCATGAGAGCACGCATGAATGAAGAACACTGGAGGTCGGACAGGCTAGCAGCTGAGGGCTGGTGAGGTCGACGGCCTCGTCTTGCGGTTGATGGACTTCATTCAGAGTGGCCGTACCTTTAAACTCCTCCGGCGTTTTGTCAGGAGACTCCGTGTAATTACTGTCCTCGCATTCTGAGAGGCTCTGTGAGAGGAAAGATAAATAACATGCACTCCTGTAACACAACTTGATCCAGAAGCTTTTCTTCAACACCCATTTAGAAGAAACGTTTGAGGGGAAAACCCAGGAAGGTAATCCTCGCTGACAGCAGGTCGGCTAGTCACATTAAAAACAAAGCTAAAGTTAAAAAGCCTTGGCTGCCCGGCCCTCAGAAGACTCTTATTTTTGTTCTGCACACATCCAGTGGAAGAAAGTATTGAATTGTTCTGGTAAAAAAAAAAGAGAATTCATAGTGTTCAGGTTAAATAAAATAAGAAAGCTCAAAACAACAAGATGGTCTTTGTGTGGAAATTAATTGACTTTTCTTTTTTTTTTTTTTTTTTTTATATGCTTCTATCATGAAGCCACAGGGAGATCAGATTTAAAAATGTCTTTGTATGGCTTTAAAGAACATCGGCTCCCTGTCAAATTCAGAATAGAATTCAAAATCTTACTTCTAACATACAAAACCCTCAACAACCTAGCTCCATCTTATTGTTCCATACTTTCCTAATAGAGCACTTTGCTCTCAGACTGCAGGTTTACTTGTGGTTCCTAAAGTTTCCAAAAGCAGAATGGGAGGCAGATCTTTCAGTTATCAGGCTCCTCTCTTGTGGAACCAACTTCCAGTTTCTGTCCGTGAGGTTGACACATTGTCCAGTTTAAAGACTGGGCTGAAGACTTTCCTTTTTGATAAATCCTATAGTTAGTCAGCTTGGGTTTCCTGAGCTATTCTTTAGTTTTGCTGCTATAGGCTTAGACTGCTGGAGGACAAACTGACCACATTTCCTCACTCTGCTGATGTCTTTACTTCCTCTACTCTACCTGTTTGTAATTATTTATATCTTAACATGTTTTTTTTGTCTTTTCTCCACCTGGACCGGACATTCTGTGTTCGTTTGTTTCTCCTTCCTGTTCCTCTCAAACCAGCCGGTCGCTTGTCCTGAGCCTGGTTCTGCTGGAGGTATCTTCCTGTTAAAAGGGAGTTTTTCTTTTCCACTGTCGTCTTTGTGCTCGCTCAGGATGGGAGACTGCGACCAAGTGAAGATTCAACACAATCTGCTGCTTCCTTAGATAGACACCGTTTACTAATTGGCTTTTCTATGTATGTGAATGTTTCTGTATCTGAGACAACTTCTGTTGTGACTTGGCGCTATATAAACAAAATGAATTGTAGAATGTGGGTTAGTTTGTTTTGTCTATTTTCTAGGAAGCTCCAAAAGTAGTGCTGTGTACCGACGATGAGGTCCAGATCTTTCTGTTTGCAGTGGTGGATCAAAGGATTCAGCGCGAGCTGGACGGCGCTACAAGAAACCGCCCAATTTGCATTAACGATATCAACCACAGAGCAGGGAAACAAGTCACAGTGGCAAGTACACCTGAGAAGAACCGACAAGACGAGAACTGAGTCGAGCCACACTTATCAATGGCAAAGCGGCTTATTTGACCTCTAATTTTTAAAATAATTACTACTGGCCTGTGTGCAGTACTTTTACACTTGCCTCAAACAGCAGAAAGTTACTATGGTGGTGTACCCCAGGAAGAACTATGTTTGCCAAACTGAAGACCTCGAGTTGTCTTACTAAATACAGACTGCTAATCTAGACCCAACATGTCAAACATTCCAGAAACCCAGTGATGGACAGAAGAAGCCTCATGAAGCGCTGAGGTTTTCCGACAAACATCCACATCTTCAGTCTGAACACAGAGTTATAGAAAACACTACAGTACATGGTCATGTGACCTTGTGATGCACTGCAGCAACGTCGGCCATTACCAAAAAAGGCAATTGGTGTATTGGTAGATATTGACAAATTAGCAATAATAATACAATTATATAATATTAGAATTAGTTGATACTTAAGTAATAATTGTATATTAAAAATATGCCAGAAAGCTGTGTGCGCTACAGAAGAGAAAGAGTGCCTTCTTTCACAAGTGACAGATTTGATCTTTATTTAGCTCAGTTTGAATGTGATCCAACCAGAATTGATGCAAATAATGTAACCGTTTAAAAGTAGCCAATAAAGCCGATATATCGACTGTTAATTATTGAATTAGCTAGTGGATAGTAGCTTCTGTAGAATATAGTGTACAGGCTGAATCGTGCTAAAGCTTAGTACAAATTATTAAACAGTACAAGCTGGTATTGCCTCTGGATGTTGCCCTGAGATGACTTCTGTTGTGACTTGGCGCTATGTAAATAAACTGAAGTGAACTGAATTAATATTTGCACAGTGTAAAATAATAATAATATATATTTGACTTTATTTTAGGTTTCCATTAGACAAACCAGTATCGGTTCAGACAAGTTTCATCCTACAAAGCATCGCCGGGTACGCTGTGCAGTGAACATTTTCTAAGTGACGACTACATAAGAGCTAAATTATAATAAATACACTTCATTCTTATACTGATATACTAACCCCCCCCCCCCCCCCCAAATGCAATACCCGAGTTGTGCACCAAATCACTTTTGTCGGCTGAGCAGCTGCCTGTTTCTGACTCATCCAAGCTTCTCCACGTCACAAAAGTAAAGTTGGGCAGTTTTATAAAACTTTAAGAGTCTGACAGTGAACAGGGACATCTGGTGGACAACTGAATACTAATCTGCAGACACCCATACTCTCAAAACCTTTACAGATTAAACCAAGGGTTAAATCTAATTTACAGATTTTGCTTTGGGCGGCTCCCTGCTACTGCAGCCCCAAAATATGTGTCAAAGTACACAAAGGGTGAAACGCTGGTTCAGGTTCATATAGAAAGCTTCGTTTAAAGCCAATAAAATGATTCAGAACAATTTGAACCAGCGTAGTGAAGCAGTGACGGTGACACCAGCAGTGTTCTGGTAAACGCTCCGACACAGTGGTTTGAACCACTCCGCTTCAGGACACACGCTGCAAAGCCTCTGTATTATTTGCTCATCTCTACTGAAAACACTAAAACACACACCTTTTGTCTCGGACCGTACGTTTCTGCACACCACACCATTCCATACAGACACAGGAAGGTGATGAAGGCCTGAAAACACATCAGACACAAATATTTTAATTTATTAGCCTCACATATGTCCAAGCGTGTTAGTTATCAGTTGTTTATCGTTACACAGAAACTAAATCGTGGGTCGGAGCTTACCAAACACAAAAGCCAGAGGATCACGTAGAGGATCTGTGTTTTTGAGAACAAATCCTGTCCAAACTTTATACAAGCCAGCGCCTCCAGAAAGGCTATCGCCCTGAGGACGACAAAATGATAATAAAATTAAAAGAAATAGGGTTCAACAGGAACCTATGGTGCACTCTCGTTTGTAAAATGAGAGGAAAAGTGTGGGAATAAACTCAGTGGGTTTTACCTGAGCGGCAGAAATCAGAAAATTAAACACATTTAACGTTTCATATGCAGATCTGACATCTTGGGTTTTACATGAGGAAGTTAAACGTTTGAGTTTAGGGACATAAACTGGTATTTTTACTCACCCAAACACCCAGCACTGCATCCCGACCCTCTTACACTGTGTGTCTGTCAGGTATGCGTAATACTGCCTAAAGTACAAACAGATACACGTCTTCAGGACTTTCCTACAGTTTTCGACTCCAGGCAGAGAAAACCATGAGATCGTCAGAACGAGAGACGGCGTGGAACCACGCACCTGACTGTCGGAGCGGTGATGATGCCGATGAACAGGATGCGACACCAGCTGAGGGCGTGGCTCGCCGGAAACACGAAGATGTGTTTGAGGAAAAACGTGTTCAGTTCTGTCAGCTGTGGGTCAAAAAGAAGAAATGTAGAGGAAATACTACTACTGGAGTTGAGTGGAATATACAGACTGTATATCAGCGGAGCTCTGCATTATAAACAAAACTAGAGCAAGACTTTACGCTGATGCTGCGGCGGGTAGAGAGCACAAGACAAACAGTATTAATCACGAAAAATATGGATTCATCAGAAAGATTTTCACTTTGGTTTTGTAAAAAGATTTCTTGTTATCAGGGATTGTTGAAGATTTGACTGAATCAACAATCCTTGTTTATGTAATGTGTGGCTGTCGTGATTTAAAATACTCCAAAAGCAAAAAACTTCACTCCCAGTAACTGAATCATTTAGATAAATATGGTTTTAAATGCATATACAGTAGTCGCTTGCTACTTTGTGGTTCGCTTTTCACAGACTTGCTATATCGCGGATTTTCAAAGTAACATTAGACTCGACACACAAGACTGATGGATGAGTCATGGGTTGTTCATTTAAAATTAATTATTTTAAATGATTTTGCACCATGTGTGCAGCCCACAAGTGCAGGGGGAAGCTCCCTCCTGCAGCCTGTCATGATCTCCACTCTCTGCCACACACACACATTTCTCCTGCTGCAGCTTTGTGAAGGGTTAACCCTTTGCTGTCCAGACGCACCGATCGACTTTTGTCTTCCAACTTAAAATTCAAAGTATGTCACATCATAAAATCGTCAATCACAAAATATAAAAGTGGTAAAAGTTTTTTTATTTATTATTATTTTAGAACTTCTATGTTCAGTTGTTTAAGAGTAACTGATCAAGAAGAACATCTCTGCTCCGTGCTGCATCAGCTGTGTGACATCCCTTTGATGTCCTGCTCAGCTTCTCTTCTCGACAATTTAAATACTCTAATATTTCAAACTAGAAAGTTCCAGGAGAAACTTTGACGGGGACTGCCTATTTATTATAAAATTATTATTATTAATAAATATTAATGATCATTAATATTAATCACAAATACTAATTTTTAATATTATTAATATATTTATAACTTATTTATATATTATTAATTATTAAAATGTTAATAATTACTAATCAATATTAATAATATTCACACCAATAATTAGTATTAATATTAAATATTACTTATTAATATGAATAATTATTTATATAAAAATTGATCATTATTAACATTAATAATCTATAATTAATATTTATTATTAATATTACCAATTAATAATAATAATAATAGGTAATAATAGGTGCCTTCCTTGCATGTTGAACCAAAATGGCTCCATATGTTACTCAGTTTCTATGAAGAGTTTTCTCCTATTCATTTCCTATGGGAAATTTGGCATTTTGGTTAGCAAAATATGTTGCCATGGTAACTGCGAATGCCAATTAAAGTAAGTGCACACTTCCCGGAGCCGGGCCGGTCGTTTTGATATAACTTTTGTGGGGGTAGACATTGTGGTTTGGGCCACATTAATGGAGATAGAAATGTAGACTCACTTCTGAGGTGTAGAATAATACGTGCCTGCCATGAATTTGCATGGCAGTCCCCAATAAACAATCCATGCTGCATGGATTATTTATTTAAAATATTACAGTATTTAAATTTAAATTGTTAATTTAAGTGGGGGGGGAGTATCAGGTGAAGAGTGTGATTACAGCCAGGCACATGTCATGACAAAGTTTACTGAACTAGAACTGAACTTGAACTACTGTCTCCATACTTCGTGATTTTTCACTTAACGCTGGGGGGGGGGGGGGGGGGTACGGAACATCCACGATAAACGAGGGACCACTGTACTCTAAAACTACATGATATAGGTGTAGTATATTTACTGCTGTTGATCGGACCAATTCTACATTTTGGATAATTCGCTGCACTTTTTTTTGTAAAACACAAAGTAACTATTTTCCCATCATGCACTTCTCATAAGGTCTCCCTCACAGAAAACATGCTGATGTGGACGCGCTCAGGAGCGACATCTCGTCTTTCAGGGAATTGCTCTGTTAGCAGTGACGCTACAGAAGCAGACCTGGCACTGAACGTAGCCTCACCCTTTCATACAGTTGGTGATGCCAGTCTGGGCGGCTCCTAACGGACCACCAGTCCACAAGCAGACAACAGAACCACTGTGAATTAAACAGACCCACGAGGCTCTGAAGCTAATCAGATTAGCCGACACTTAGCACTGGATGATCTCTGGCTCATCGGTACTTAAGTCGCCGTTAAGACGGCGAAAGAGAGGATTGACCCACCTGCCAGATGATCATGAACAGATAGACGCCCATCACTCGCTGCACGGACGACTTCGGGTCGAGCCAGCGCACGTACATCCAGCTGGCGGGGGTGAACTGCAGCACGGCTCGCTTGATCTTCCCCGTGGTGGTGTGGATGTCTCTAGTTAGGAGAAGAACAAAGAAAAGTTTGCAGAGAGAAACGTGCCGTGAGCAGCGAACGCCTCCACATGAAACACGCCTGAAATCAGTTTCCTGACTACAAGGTCGTACTTTATGCTGGCCCAGTGGTACGTCCTCATCTCCAAAAAGCGGCAGACGGTCATGCCGAGCCAGATGCCGCCTCCGTTGCACAGCAGAATATCCAGAATGACTTGGTCCCACCAGCACTCTGCGAAGTTCGGCAGCAGGTGCATGAAGAACAGCTACAGAGGAACACAGTGAGATGAGTCGACGTCCTTCTACGAACGAGTTACATCGGCAGCTTTGATAGATTCAGTAACCAGAGATGGATCAGAGTCGGTCTACCTCAGTGAGCTCCCAGGTAATACTGATGGTCCAGCAGAGGCCGTAGCTCCGGATGAGGAGGGCCTTCATACCCCAACCCCAAAAATGGCTGAAGGCAAAAATGTCAAAGTGGCTCAGGATTCTCTCCCAGGTGATGTCGTGGCAGTTCACAGCATATTCCTGCAGGCGGGAGCACCGAGAGGCTCGTTAGCAACGTTAAGACGGATCGCCGACCCCATCGGGCGCTCGCTTATCGTCACTGACCATTATATCCGCCTCGCGCTTGGCGTAACGCAAGTTTGGGTCCAACCAGAACATGAGCTGCTTCACCTGCTGCCAGTTGAGGAAGATGATGAAAACCAGGAACAGGAAGTAGAGCACGCTCAAACCTTAGAAGACAACAACAAAAAACCAAACCTCGGGGAGTAAAACGATGAACACAAAAACTCTTTTTGTGCTCCTAACGACGTTAAATACTCACCGAACACTATTCTCCATATGGCTGGGTGTGGTCTGGTGAATGGACCTGAAATCAGACCAGTTCAGATGTCAGCTCAGGTTAAATGGTTGTTTTTGCTCTGCATGGATTCAAAGCTGAAACTCTCCAAGCGGAGCTCATTTATGGGTAAAATCAGCTCAGATTAGCGACACAGACCGATTGTTGACAACGTGCAGACGGACGCCGTTTCACGCCTGGGTTCAGAAGGAGCGTCAACTATCTTCGCTCCTTTCCGTTCCTCCCGTGTTGAGCTACCTTTACGGCCACTCTCAGCTCCGAGTGAGCCGCCCTCGTTACTCATTAAGCTGAAACGATTTGTAAAACACCTTCTGGATGACCGTGATCACACCCCACTCAAACAACGGCTCTCGTCTTCTATTAATCATCTACCAGAGGAACCTGCCCTCACAAATGTCCATGTGTTTCAGCAAAACATGCTCCATGTCCAGCTTCTAGGACGTCATATGGACTCTGGACTTCGTGATATGGAAGCTGATGAAGTCTCAATCAATAGGAGTTAATTGTTCAGCCCTTCTTTTTCACAAATGCTTCTTGGGTCGTGTTTTGGAGCGTGTCGACTTCAGAATGTTTGAAACAGCTGGAAAATGATTGTCCCGAGAAGAACAGGTGATCATGAGTCCTGTGAAGCATCCTGAGACCGTTCGTGTGTGAGGCTGCTTCTCATCCAGGGAGAGGGTTCGCTCCTAAGAACACCGCCATGAATAAAGAATAAACAGTGTTTATTCCAGCATGATGGACCATGTCCCGAGGCACAAGTGGCTCGGTGAATAAAACTGGTCTCAGGAAACTCACCAGATCTCAACCCCGTTGAGAACCTGAGGTCAATCCTCCAAAACGAGGGTGGACAAATAAAAACCCAGAAGCTCTGATCAACTCCAAGCATGAATTAGGCAATGGGTTCCCATCACTTAAGATTTTGCCCAGAAGGTCAAAAGTGTTTACAGAACACTGCAAATGCTTAAACTGCATGCGTTTGTCAATAAAACCTTTAAATCATGCACAGAATGCTTATAACTGTACTTCACTACACCATGTGAACATCTGATGAAAGGTTCTAAACACCTGAAGAAGGAAACCTTGTGAAAACCAAAACTTGCGGCACTCTCTTAAGTTTTTGGCCCCGACTGTTTTCAGCTCAGAGCAGCGAGGACGTTTCAGACTGGAGAGCGTGAACGAGCTCCGCACAGACGGCTCAACACACGAGAGCAGCTCCTCAGGACAAGACCGGTCCAACGACACGTCGAGGACCGAAATGTGGAAATGTGGTGACATGACTAACACCCTCTTCATCCATCCATTATCTTTTACCCGCTTCTAACTTTTATGGTCACGGGGGGG